GGCTTTGCCCCGGGCTCCCTCCTCCATCCCGAGCCCACCTCCTGCCTCTGGCTTTGCCCTGGGCTCACTCCTCCATCCCGAGCCCACCTCCTGCCTCTGGCTTTGCCCTGGGCTCACTCCTCCATTCCAAGCCCATCTCCTGCCTTTGGCCTTGCCCTGGGCTCCCTCCTCCATTCCAAGCCCATCTCTTGCCTGTGGCTTTGCCCCGGGCTCCCTCTTCCATCCCGAGCCCACCTCCAGCCTGTGGCTTTGCCCCGGGCTCCCTCCTCCATTCGAAGCCCATCTCCTGCCTGTGGCTTTGCCCTGGGCTCCCTCCTCCAAGCCCATCTCCCTCCTGCATCTTTCTCCTGGGGAGCACAGCTCCATGTGCAATCCTAACAAGTGTTTCACTCATGACCAGGTAAAGCTTCCCTGGACCATTGCTGCTTTCTCCAGAAAAGGAGTTTAGGTCCATGTCAGGGCCCTGCAATCTCCAGGCACTCATGGAGGTAACGCTGCTGCTGAGCTTCACCTTCAGGAGAGTTCTGGAGAATTCCTTAGCCCACATGAACCTCTGCAGAGCCCTCTGCTCTCCTTCCAGGAGCAGTTCAGCCCTCCTGGAGATGTGTGATGCTTCAGAAGATGTTGTGGCCTGATTTGTCCCCAGAAGAATTCCCTTGTCAGTCTTTGCTCTTCTAGATCTTCTTTCTCCTTTCTAGATGAGCAGGAATGCTCTTTCTGGCATCTACTTTCAAGGCTTTAACTTTGAAACCCATTGAGACTGAGGAAAAGTACCCCCATAATCTGGGTTTGGGTGAGTCTTTGTGTATGGCCCATCACTGCAGAGCTGCTTTCAGGGTCAGAGCTGTCTCCTGCTTGACAGATGAGTTGTGGAAGTCCTCCTATGTCTGTACCACCCCTGAGCTGGTGCCAGGGGACAGTAGAGCTTTGTGCTTGGAGTGGTCGGAGGGATGCGTTGGGCTTGCTGGGCTGTCTGTACAGCTTGGACTTTACCAGTGTGTTGAGGGTTGTTGAGGGACAAGACTTTGTGTGAGTCCTGTGGAGCAGCTTTAACCTCCAAACCTCTGTCAGCACAGAGCAGAGGGTCACGTGTAAGAGGGTCAGTGCCACTCAGTGGCAGCATCTCCCAGAGTGGGGACAGGCTGAGCCCTCTGAGGTGTGTGAGGTGAACAGGTCAGCATGGCTTGGATGCTCTCCATGGATTTCGAGTCCAGACTGCCTGCAGTGTGCTCGGAGGCAGAGGAGCGTGAGCTGTTCTCCCGTGACTTGGGCCAGCTTGCCTTTACTTTCATTTAGTGGTGTGAGTCAGGGCTGACCAGAGAACCTCCCGTGCCTTTGATACTCCAAAATGGATGTGTGGACCAGACAGAGACGGTTTAACCAGACGTCGTGGTGGAACTTGGCCAAAGATTTCCTTGTGTGCCCGTACAACCCTCGTGGTGGCTGGGCCAGCAGGAGTGGCACCACTGCCCTTGTGTGGGACCTCTCTGCCCACAAGAGAGCAAACTTCAGCAGAGCTGAAGTGGGGTGGGTATCAGAGTTTCTCCAACTCCATGGCCATGCTTGTGCAAATAGAATCACAGAATCATTCAGGTTGGAAAAGCCCTCCAAACCATGGAGTCCACCCTGTTCCCAATTCCCACCTTGTCCCCCAGCCCAGAGCACTGAGTGCCACGTCCAGTCCTGCCTGTGGACACCTCCAGGGATGGGGACTCCACAACCTCCCTGGGCAGCCCCTTACAATGACTGAGAACCCTTTCAATGAGGAAATTCCTCCTGATGTCCAACCTGACCCTCTCCTGGCACAGCTTGAGGCCATTTCCCCTCATCCTGTCCTTTGTTCCCTGAGAGCAGAGCCCGACCCCCCCCAGCTCCCCCCTTCTGTTGCAGAGAGCAACAGAAAAGATCCAGACTTCACCTAAACCATCTAACCCTGCACATCCCTCTTGGGTTCAGCACTCCTCTTTGTTGGTCACCAACTTAGTAATGAAAAGGAGGCAGAAACACAGTCACTGATTGATTAGGGACTGATTTGTTGTATCAAACCCTCAGGCACTGCTGACCCTTGAGACAAGCCAAAGGTGGTGAAGCTCATGAGCACATGTAAGGGCACAGGCACAGGAGTATTGCACTGGCACCCTGTAGGTCCTTTGTCTCCTCTCCCGCCTCTGGCCACTCCTTCAGGGGACTCGGATGGTTGTCTGAGCTGTTTGCACGTTGAGATAGGACCTGAGTCTCTCTAAGAATAATGCATTTGTTATCAGTGAACGTGTTTGTCTGTGACTCACATGTGGGTAAGGTGTGTTTGCTCTTATAACAGCTCTTGAAACTTCATGTAGGTACATTAAAAAGCCCCATATCCTGATCCCCAAGCTTCATGCCCAGGAGTCATGGAAGTGGCAATTTGTCCTCGGGCCCCTTGAAACATTCTGCCATTCTCTTCCTTTTCCAAACAGCCATTTCCATCTTTTTCATGGTTGACATCCACTCCATCTCCCTGCCTTGTCCCTCCTCATCCTCCCATGTCCCTCCAGCAGTGTCCCAGAGCACTTTTCAGCTCTGGTCCCCTGGCAGCATCTCCCATACCTGTGGTAGTGTCCTGTCATTCCTGCTGCTGTGTCTGGGGGTAGAGAGGATTGATCTTGGTGTCAGAGGGGCTATGTTCAGCTGACAGAGCTGGAGAGTTAAGATAAACTGGGAAGAGCCTCTCTTTTCCAGGAATAAAGGCATCCACACAGCGTGAATCACAGAATCATTGAGGTTGGAAAAGCCCTCCAGGATCATTGAGTCCACCCTGTTCCCAATCCCCACCTTGTCCCCCAGCCCAGAGCACTGAGTGCCACCTCCAGTCCTTCCTTGGACATCCCCAGGGCTGGGGACTCCACCACCTCCCTGGGCAGCCCCTGCCAGTGCCTGACCACCCTTTCCATGGAGAAATTCCTCCTGATGTCCAACCTGATCCTCCCCTGGCACAGTTTGAGGCCATTTCCCCTTGTCCTGTCCCTTGTTCCCTGGGAGCAGAGCCCGACCCCCCCCGGCTTCCCCCTCCTGTCAGGCTGAGATTTGGGGAAGACCAAGGGAGGAAGATCTGGTGACTGGGGTGTCCCTGTGGCTCTGTGAACCATCACCCTCCTCTTCCAAAGCCCTGTTAGTTCTTCCCTTCTCTTCATTATCCTGGGTTTTTTACCCGGCTCTTTTTTTTTTGGCTGGGAAGTCAGGATTATCAGTCTCCCATCCCCTGCATCGCTCTCAACCTCTGCAAATTCAGTTTGGTATTTGCTATCTGCATTTTTTTCTGGGATTGTGGTCCATGTAGTGATGAGTTATCTCAGTTTAGTCCAGGATTTTTCTTGAGCCCTTTGGTAAACACTCCCTTGTCCCATTCTCTTCCTCTCTTTTCCATGCCAACCTTTTGGGTTGGTTATAACACTTTTCCTGCCACTTCAGATCAAATCAAATTTTGACTCATCCCCCATGAAGGAAGGGTGGGAAATGCTCTGAGTTCCCTTGCAGAGAAAACTGAGGACTTTCCCCGTGTCCTTTTTCAGCCCTTATCCCTGAGGTCTCCTTGGCAAACAGAAAGGGGAACAGAAATTTTTAAAGGGTTCTTGGGGGGGAAAAAAAGCACAAATAATCTCTTTTCTATGGGCATGATTGATTCAGTGAGAATTAATAGGCTCAGACTGGAGCAAAACTGTCTCCAGTGAGGTGTTGGAACGTACTTTGCAGTGTGGAGGAGAAGGGAGCCCTGGAGTGGGTGAGGAGTCTCCCTTTCTGGAGGTCTTGAAAACAGGTTGAGCAAGTGTCTCTCAGGAATGTTTTAGGTCTGGCTGATCCTGCCTTCGGGCAGCAAAGAGGGCGAGGTGACCTCTCAGGGTCATCTTTCTTTTTCTGCTGTTTTATACCTGAAGGCCCCAAGTGGGGATCTGGCACCTCTCCATGCCTGGTTCCCCAGGACCTCTCCTTGTGTTTCTGCTGCTCAATGTAACCTGTGAGTGATTCTGGGACAGGCTGGTGTGAAGGCAGTGGGTCTGGTGGGAATAAAAGTGGGAAAGGTGGCAAGGAGAAGTTAGAAAAGGGAAAATTAGTATTTTAGAAGCGGTGGTGTGGACAGAAAAGGTAGAAAATAGAGATGCCATAGAGTAAGGAAACAAGAAAACTAAAAGGTGGTAGCAAGAACATCGGGGTGGGGAGGAGCTCTGCACCCTGCTGAGGGGGTGACAGGAAGGATGTGGTGACAGAGACAGATGCAGTGACAAAGCCAGGGGGTCACGGGCCTCATTCACAGTGTCTCAGAAGCAGGGCCGGGGCCAGAGCTGCAGGGCTGGATCAGCCAAGGCTGGGTCCAAACCCTGCCAGCTAATCCCGACCCACCACTGGGATTGCAGGAGCCTGTGCAGAGCCAGGCAGGGATCGTCCTGGGAGGGCAGTGCTGTGACTTCCACCAGGGAAGCCCCAGCTGCAGCAGCACTGTGGGGTCCAGCAGAATGCCCACCTAGGTCCTTCTGCCGATCGAGAGCCCATGGGATTGGGATCAGGATCGAGATCAGGATGGGATCAGGATGGGATCAGGACAGCGGTGGGATTTAGACAACGCGCATGAGACCTCTTTAATTTTGGGTATGAACATACCCCCTCTCTCCAGTGACTGGATTTTGGCTGTCCCTTGTCTCCTAGATCAGATAAGCTTCTGTCAGGAGAGGTCTCCCCTTGGCTGTGGCAGTGGGTGCTGCAGAGGTCCCCAACCCACCATGGAGGGAGGGATGCTCTTCCTGCAAAACCCTTCCCTCCTGCAGTGCCTGAGCCCATCTGCAAACCCTGGGACCAGGAGGGAGAGAGGGATCCTGACTCTGCAGCCAGGGCCACCCACGGGGCACGAGTCCTCTGCATTGAGGAATCACTTAATATTTGTTTTTCCACGTCATCCATAGATTTTTTTTCGAGTCTTCTCTTGTCCTGTGAGCACGATGTGCAGCCAGGATCCCTCACCCAAGGGGCAGGGCCAGTGGAGTGCCAAGAAAATGCTGTTCTAGGATGGCCACAGTAAGAGCCAGGCCTTGCTGCTGGAGGAGTTGCACCAAATGGGAAGAGGAGATGGTGGGAAGAGGGGTCTGGAGCAGAGACAAGTGGAGTGTGAGGTGGATGGTGCCTGTGTCCCCCTGAGCTGCCCCTGGTCACCTTTGCAGGTGCTCAGGAAGGCACCCGGGCCCAGGCTCCAGCAGGATCAGTGTCTGGTGAGGGATCCAGCATGGAATAACGAGAGGCCACTGCTCTGTCACAGCTCCATGCACAGCTGCCCACGTGGGAAGGGTCTCGGCTGCAGGGATCAGCATTCCTCAGCAGGTCTTCTCCAGATTTATCACCTGGATTCCCCCCCAGAAGAGCCACCAGCATTTTATATCTGCTCTCCACACTCGTTTGGAGCTGCCAGGAGCCTGACTTCTTGCTCATATTTATCATTTTATCATTAATCATGGAATCATGGAATGGTTTAGGTTGGAAGGGACCTTAAAGGTCATCTTGTTCCAACTCCTGCCATGGGCAGGGACACCTTCCACTAGACCAGGTTGCTCCAACCTGGCCTTAAACACTTCCAGGGCACTTGGATGCTGTGCTGGTGTTGGTGGGCACAGCGCCTGTCAGTGCTCCAGGGAAACAGGGGGTTATTTGGGAGCCTTTCCTGGGCACTTCCAAGCCATAACAGATTGCATTTCTTCCCTGAAAACCTGGATTTCCAGAGTTTATGATGCTTGGGCTTGGTACAATTGCACTCTCTCTGGTGTCCTTGAGTCTGAAGTCACAGAATCCCAGAATGGTTTGGGTTGGAAGGGACCTTAAAGATCATCCAGTTCCACCTCATGCCATGAACAGGGCCACCTTCCACTAGACCAGTTTTGACAAAAGGATATGAACTTTAAAATATTTTCATTTTCACTGAAATCATTCACTTTCACTTTTGTTTTAAGCAGTTACAGAGGTGATTAGGAGTTGGATACAAACCCACAACCACAGACATTTGCACTAGACGTTTGAACTAGCTGGTCTTTAAGGTCCCTTCCAACCCAAACTATGCTGAGATTTTAGGATTTTATGATTTTAACTTGCTTTTATGGCTTTGTAAGACCTGTTCTTGTTTTGATGCCCAAGACTTGGTGCTTTGGGACTAACCCTCCAAAGCAAACAAAGGCAGCACTGAACAGGCTGCCCAGGGAGGGGGTGGAGTCTCCCTCACGGGGGATATTCCAGACCCCTCTGGACACAATCCTGTGCCCTGTGCTCTGGGATGACCCTGCTGGAGCAGGGAGGTGGGACCAGTGACCCACTGTGGTCCCTTCCAACCTGACCCATTCTGTGACTCTTGAGTGCAGTTTGGGATAGGAACTCCACCTTTCTCTGGGGCATTTTCCTTGTGAACCAAAACTTGGACAGTGACCTGGTTTTTGTGGCATTCAGAGCCTTGCTGGCTCAGGCAGGGCCATGGGATGTAGCAGGGTGGTGATGCCCAGTGCAAGGGGGTCCTACACCTCTGGGTGGGTCCAGAGGGTTTGCAGGGTGGGCTTGAGCCCCAAGGTCTGAGTCTCCTTTGCTTTTGTCCCACAGTCCCACCCGCTGTCCCTGTGCAACACCAGTGAGGATGAACACACTGAGTCAGGATTCATCACCATCGTCAAGCTGGAACAGCCAGACCGGGATCCCAACCCCTGCCTGTCCCTGGCTAACAAGGTGAGTCCCAAAATGCCCTGAATGGCACCAACCTGGGAAGTGAAACCTGTGGTGCAGCAAAGAGGAGGGTGAGAGGAGGCAGCAAGGTGGGAAAGAGCTGTTGGAAAGTAGAGAAAAGGACCAGGACAGAGCAGGGTCCTTGGCAGAAGGGGTCCTTTGGGAGAGATGCTGTGCCAGCCATCCCCAACACCCATCCTTCCATCTTTTGGACTGCCTGGCTTTTTAAAAGGTGTGAAATTCCCCCTGATCCCACCATCCCTTGTGCTTTACTTCCCAGCAGCCTCGTACCACTCCAGTTTTGCTCAATGGCCTGTGGAGGGATTTGTGTTTCTCTGTGTCCTCTGTCCCGTGGGAATACACAGACACAGAAAACATCCTCTGTGCCTCTGTCTTCAAAAATAATCCTGTAACACTTCACTGGATGAGGCACAAGAAGAATGAGGGCTGAGAAATGAGGCAAAAGCAGACCAGTGAACTAGTGGTGGGTCATAACTCATGAACAGTTCGGGCCCCTGGGAGATCTCAGAGCTCTTTGGATTGGGTACCTCAGTGAAGCAGCAGTTCCTGTGCCAAAAGCTGAGCCCACTGATCCAATTCTCTGGTAATAAGGAAGTCAGGTAGGAACGAGGGTCATTTTAAGCCTTAAAATCTGTGTGTCTCTGATAAAGCTGCACCAATAAGGCAAACATTGGCTTTTCTTTTGATTGTGTCTGTACTGAATGTTGGACTATTTTCCACAAGCATTGTACAAACGTGAAGACCCCCTTTTTGGCTTTACCTGGATTGTATTCAGGAGGTGCCATCTGGTTGCCTGCTCCATGCTGGGATTGACATGGTGGGGATGGGGACAGGATCCTTTTCCATGCTCCCTGTGGCTCAGCTCAAGAGGGAAGGCAACAATCTCTTGCTCCTGCCCAGCAGGGTTTGATTCACAGAGGCTGTGGCAGCAAAACCAAGCAAAGGGATGTGATTCCATGATGGATTTGCCACCCCAGGTCTGTTCCCCCCAGCTGTGTGGGCAGCCAGGCAGCAGTGCCCATCCCTCTCTGGGTTGCTCAGCCTGATTTTGGTTGGCTGCTGCTCTGGAGCTGGTGGCAGCAGTTGGCATAAGAGTTATGGACATGCTGTCAGTCCCTACACACCTGGAAAATGTCCTGGTCCCACCTGTGGGTGTAGTGATGCAGGAGGGTGGTGGGATAAAGAGGGAGCCCAAGGGCTTCCAGTGCAGCTTGTGACTCAGGAGTGAGGGCTGTGCAGGTGCCCCAGGCAGCACAGCTGGGGGCTCCAGCTCTCCTGTGTCCATCCAGACGTGACCATCATGTTAAAGTGGTCCCAGGCTGCCACATGGATGCCCCAGGATGCAGGGAATGGGGGAGGAATGGCTGTTTGGTCAGTGCAGCTGCTGGGGGGGCTTGTGAACAGGAGGGAGGAGCAGCTGCAAAGACTCAACTTCCACTTCAGAACCTAAGAGGTTTAAAAACTTAGGGCCAGGATTTGAGCAACCTGGTCTAGTGGAAGGTGTTCCCTGCCCATGGCAGGGCGTTGGAATGAAATGAGCTTTAAGGCCCCACCCAACCCAAACCATTCTGTGATTCAAACTTTTTTGCTGGTTTTGACCTTCATCTTTGAGACTGATCACAGCACTGGAAGTGCCAGTGTGTTACTGAGTCCTGGAGTCAGCTCAGGAAGGCTGGCACAGGGAGGACAAGGCATGGGGCATTGCTGCACTGTGGTCATCCACCTTGATCCCTTCTCCAGGACCACTAACCCTCCAAAGCAAGCAAACCCCTCAGTTCATTGCCGTGTTCATAACTCGACAGAGGGACAGTTCCCTGGCCATCAGTCATCATTGCTCCATTACCAGAGCCAAATCCAACACTGGAGTTTGAGATCCAGCTGAATATGACACTGGATGCAATCCTGCAGGTATTCCTGCTCCAGGATCTCTCCTAGGGAGACTCACAGCTCTTCTCCCACAAATAAGAGTAGTTTAGCCATGAAATACAGCAGATGGCCATATCCCCTGGCTCTGCCTTGTGTCTTGATTACTCCACTCCCTGCAGTTCCTGTCTGGCTGCTTCTCCATCCTCCTGAAGCTTCTGCCAAGCTCCTTCCCTCCAACATCACTCCGATCAGAGAATCACAGAAAGGTTGAGGTTGGAAGGGACCTTAAAGGTCATCTCATTCCAACCCCCCCACCGTGGGCAGGAATACCAGGATCTGTTCCTCAAAATCCCTGGACCGTTCCCCTCCTCAGGAGCAGGGATGTAGCTGTGGGATGTGGCTGGTTCTTGCTGGAGCAGGAGCCTCGTTTCCCTGGCATGTGCGTCTTGTGGCAGAGCTTTGCATGTGGAATTGCAGCACTATATCAATGATGACAAAAATAGCCATGTGCAGAGTGTTATCATAACCTCTGCTTCAGCTGTCACCCAGCCAAGCCTGCACACAGCCAGCCCGGCACGAGGAGAGCTCCACCAGCCACCTGAGGCTCTTCTCTGCTCCCTAAATTCAATCCCTGCTTCAGCATCCAAAGCTAAAACCAGCAGGGAAGGCGTCTGGGGAGAGGAAGACATGGAAAATACCACTGGGATCAAAGGGATTTATTTTTCTTTCTGATGCATCATTTATAATTTTGTTTGTTTGTTTGTTTTCTGAGTGGACCGTTGGTTGCAAGTCTGGTTGACAGAAAGCTGTCAGCTGTTGCTGAAAGCTCTGAAATCATCCTGTAAATATATATTTGCACCAAAAGTGTTTTGGTCCTCAAAGAGGAGGTTGGCAGTGCCCTGTGGCTGAAGGGACCCAGCACAGGGACAGCAAACACTCAGAAAATGATTGCAGCAAGCAGGTTGTGAATGGATGGAACAGAATCATACAGAATCATGGAATATCCTGAGTTAGAAAGGACTCACAAGGATCATCCACTCCAACTCCTGGCCCTGCACAGACACCCCAACAATCCCACCCTGTCCCTGAGAGTATCAGCCAAACCCTCCCTGAGCTCTGGCAGCCTTGGGGCTGTGCCCACTGCCCTGGGGAGCCTGGGCAGTGCCCAACCAGCCTCTGGGGGAAGAACCTTTTCCTGAATTCCAACCTGACCCTCCCCAGCTGCAGCTGTTCCCTGAGTCCTGTCACTGGTCACCAGAAGTTGTGTCCTTTGCAACAGGAGTCAGAAAGGTGTTGGGAACAGTCACTTGTCCAGTCTCAGTTGTTCGTTGCCCCGTTGTTGGTGTCTTTAGCAGGATAAAATCTGTGTAGAGCTGTTTGTTCATCAAAGCCTGACTGGCTCCAACAGGTAGAAGTCAATCCCTGAAGGTCCTCTTCAGTGCTGGCAAACAATGAGGATTGTTTGATCCCAGGCAGGTCCCCAGTCTCTGATCCCTGCTCTGAGTTGAGCCTTGATCCCACTTTTCCAGCTTCCCTATCTGGTACAGCAAACCCACGAGTGTCAAATCCTATCAGCAGCTCAGAGCCTTCAACCCCTGTGACCTTCCTGACCATCTTCACCTCCACTCTTGTCCCTGTCCTGTCTCCAGACACACCCTCTGGGTGCCCCCAGCTTCTCCCCCACGAGGGGTGTGGAGGTGACCAGTGTTGTGAGCGTGATTGTCCAGCTCTGCTCTGCTCTGGGGTGGCCTCACCTGCAAAATTGAGGCAGTTTGGGGGGACACAATATCAGAAAGTAATGAAGCCATTAGAGAGTGTCCAAAGAAGGGCAGTGAAGATGGGGAAGGGCCTTGATTTGAAGCCGTGTGAGGATACTGAGGGCACTTGAGGAGACAGGGGAGACCTCACTGCAGTTACAGCTTCCTGGGCAGGGGCAGAGGAGGGGCAGGGACTGAGCTCTGCTCTGGGGGGACCAGGGACAGCAGCCAGGGAATGGCTGGAGCTGTGTCAGGGCAGGCTCAGGTTGGATCTCAGCCAAAGGTTCTTCCCCCAGAGGCTGGTTGGGCACTGCCCAGGCTCCCCAGGGCAGTGGGCACAGCCCCAAGGCTGCCAGAGCTCAGGGAGGGTTTGGCTGATCCTCTGGGGCACAGGGGGTGACTCTTGGGTCTGGGCCTGTGCAGGGCTGAGGGTTGGACTCCATGATCCTTGGGGGTCCCTTCCAGCTCAGCACATTCTGTGACTGTGTGACTGTGTGAGGGATGGAGCAGATCCCGCTCAGCTGCTGCTCTCCGTGCCGGGAATGCCCCATCCCTGGGCCCAGCCAGCTCCCTGTGTTTGATATTGCAGCTGGGAAGCAGCAGCTCTGACCTCTGGCCCCCGAGCTGGGGTTTGGCCCTGCAGAGGGTGAACTGCTCCCTGTTTGCACAGGCTCGAGACGCAGGATCAAAGGGCTCCGCGTGAGTAAGAGCAGCCCAGCCCTGCGTTCTGGTCACGTTCCATCTCCTCAGGCTGCCTCTGCCTGCCCAGAGGGCTCCCAGGGCCGGCTGGAAGGAGATGGGTGACCCCACGAGGTCCCCAGGCAGTGAGCTTTACCTCACCAGGGTGGCATGTGTGCTCAGCTGGGTGGGTCTCTGAGCTGAGCTGTGGAAAGCCATCCCGCTCCTCATCCGAGAGCAGATCTGCAGCCCGGGCACTGCCTGAGCTGCTCCCTGAGGAGTGCAGGGACAGGGACCAGGGAGAGCAGCGTGTGTGGGAGTCAGGCCCTCAGGCAGCCCAGGGCCATCCAAAGGAGGGCACTGAAGATGCCCCACGGGTGAGAGGTGAGACGTGGAGGATTCTGCTGTCCTGGGGTGGGAAGGTTGTGTAGGTCAACAGATCCCTCCCCAGCAAATCCAGCTCTGAAGCAAAGGGGCACATGGCACGGGCAGCTGGGGAATGTTTAGGTTTGTGTCCTGCTGTGATTGCAAGGCCACCAACTAATTCATCTCCACAACCATAGGGAGAAGGAGCCCCAGAGCTCTGGCAGGAGCGGACACTGCAGCCCGACACAAGCACAGGAATCAAAGTGTAAATGGTTTCCTCAGTCTAAGCAGGTGCTTCTTTCCCTGCAAAGAACCTGGGAGGCAGACATGGATCCAAATGGCAGGTGTTGACACAGGGGACAGTGCAGAGTGTCCTCTGAAGCTTCTGTTGTTTTGGACAGGCGAAGCTGGCGGGGGAGCGTGGAGCCCGTGCGATCCTTTTCGACATTACTGACGATGAAAGTGCTGCTGATCAGGTACAGACCCCATTAATACTCTCAGCTAAACCACAGTGCTCCTGTCCCATCCAAAATGTGTCCATCAGGACCCACCAGCAGAAAGTCCCGGGTCCCAGCTGGTGTTGGATGTTGGCTCTTACCCCACTCGCCCATGAAGAGTTGATTCCTCTTTCCTTCACTCCAGGGCACATCCACACTCTCAGAGGACATTATCTGGTCAGTTGAGCTTTTCTGCTAGGAGCTGGATGCTTCCTCTTGGGAAGTCATGGATTTCCTAATTTCATCTACTCCAGACAGCCCAGTTTACCTCCAGGGAAAGGTGACTTCTCAAGTTTTCAAGCCCAAGTCACAGCCCTCCCTGCAACACTCTTGGTGCAGGTTTAGAGACCTCCAAAGGTCCCTTTCCCCAGCATTGCTGTCATCTCTGGAATGGAATCAGTTCCCTATCCAAATATTCCAGGGATAATGAAAAGCATCCAGCATTTGACTGAGGACAGACAGGGGAGCTGGTGCCTGAGCTTATCCAAACTCTGGGCTGACTCCTTGCTGGATCCATCCCTCCTGGCTCTTTTATGCACTTACAGATTAATTTCTGATGCCAGAGAAAGGCAGCAGCGAGTGCAGATCCATGAGGTGACTCCAGGGTTGCTCAGATCCCAGTCTCTGATCCCTCTGAGCCTCTGATCCCACTTTCCCAGCTTCCCCATGTGCAATACCAAAGCCAAGAGTGGCAACTCTCATCAACTCAGACCCTGCAGCCTCCGTGGTCTTCATGACCATCTGCGCCTCCACTCACATCCCTGTCCCCAGACCCAGGCACCCAACTCTGGGTGCCCCCAGGCCCCCCCAGGGCATGGGAAGTGGTCAGTGGGTCCAATGACCACCCTGGTCCAGTCCAGGTCAGTCTGGAGGGGAGCAGGCTTGGACACTTGCTGAGCCAGCCCATGCCAGTATGACCAGGAACAACCAGAATGTCCTCAGGGAGGAGGGGAACTGGATGGGTCTCACAGGAAGAGCAGAGGAAGCATTTCTGTGGGAAGGCAGCACTTGGCAGCACCGTTGGCGGTTCCCACAGGGAAGAGGAGACACCAAGAACTTTTGCACAGGGGCTTGAAGAGGAGCTCAAGAGACACTAGGCAGCGTCCAGTTGGGCATGAGGAGTCACCAGCAGGGAAAATTGAGTATTTTCCCAATGCTGGAGAGTTGGTACAAGAGGAGAAGCTTCAATCTAATTCATATTCATCCTAGAGAGACAGTACAGATCTGGGGGAGCAGTCAGTCTCTGAAGTGTGTGCAAGAAGCATCCGGAGGATCAGACATGCCTGGGGGACCAGGATTGTCCTTTTCCAGGCTGTTCTGGACCAGCTCTGACTGTGTTTGTTCCTTTGCAGCTGAGGAAGCCCAGAGGTCTGAGCCAGCCTGTGGTTCTGATCAGGGGCCACGACGCCGAGCAGCTCATGAGCGTCGTGAACAAGAACAGAGAGGCCCATGTGAAGATAGAGGTCAAGGAGCCACCAGCCTGGGTGAGACACACACCATTCCCACTGCCTCCCACATCCTCCCTCCCAAGCCACAGCACAGGGCTTTCCCAGAGCTGCTGAGCTTTGCTCCCAAGGGACAGAGATCAGAGCCCTTGGCAGGAGCTGTCTGTAGCATTCAGATGACCTGCTGCAAATAAAGGCTCAAAAGCACTTTCAGCTTATTTAGTGTCTTTTGCTTCAACGCCACGAGTGAGGTGAGGGGGTTCTCTGTCTCTTCAGGGGAGACCAGGCCTTGGTTTTCTCATCTTATGCTGCCTTAGACCGTGGCACTGGGGGAGCTGAGATGCTGCAAGGCAGAGATTTTCCATTCTTGGTGAGATGCCCAAAAAAAAGGCCGAACCCTTTTTTCCTTTTCCTGTAAAGAGCAATGAGGTAGAGTTTGGCCTTGTGTTCAAAGGCTGATGGGCCAGAAGAGATTGGGAGTCCCCTGCCAAACCTCTTATCCCCAAGTCTGCCACACAAGAGTAATTTCTCTCCTGTTTTATCCAACAGCCAGACTACGACGTGTGGATCCTCCTCACGGTGGTCAGCACTGTGGTCGTCATCGTTTTGATTTTCGTTGTCCGCACAAAGTGCCAACTGAACAGGACTCAGGTAGGGACCCCCTGGAGCAACAGGAATACACAAAAGGCAGGAACAGACATTGTTTGGGAATTGGGGAAATGGGCAGACAGTGGGGGGACAAGGGGGAATGACTTCAATGGGATATTGGGAAGGAATCCTTCCCTGTGAGGGTGGGGAGGCCCTGGCACAGGTGGCCCAGAGAAGCTGTGGCTGCCCCATCCCTGGAAGTGTCCAAGGCCAGGTTGGATGGGGCTTGGAGCAACCTGGGACAGTGGAAGGTGTCCCTGCCCATGGCAGGGGGTTGGAACAAGATGAGTTTTAAGGTCCCTTCCAACCCAAACCATTTGGTGATTCTGTGGTTCTATGGTTTAATATTTTTTAATAGAAATTAAGAAATTTCTAATCATCTTCCCGGAGTCAGATGTATTTTCCTATATGAGAATATCCCGTGTTTCCCGTAGAGAGACAATCCTTTGGGGCTCAAAAACTCAGCACTGCTGAGTGATTTTGAATGTCCAGAGCCAGCCATCTCCTGCTGGTGACAAGTCAGGTTAGACAGAAAGCCACCTCTGGAAATGAATGAAATCCCCAAATTCCTGATAACCCCATTTTGGAAAGGGAAGGCCTGTCCTGAAAGCCTCCCCTGTCTCTCAGGACTCCGTGCAGCAGCAGACCCTGCAGGCCATCGGGCAGTTGGCCACGCGCCGGTACCAGCCCCGGTGCCGCCCGGCGTCGCGGTGGGACTCGGCCAGCAGCTGCAGCTCCGCCCCAGTCTGTGCCATCTGCCTGGAGGAGTTCAGCGAGGGCCAGGTAGGATGTGGGCAGGGCTGCTGGGCAACCACAGCTCCAAAATTCCCGGGTGGGATTGGTGGTAGGAGCTGAGCGTGGCAAGAGCGGGAGGCCCTGGTGATATTTCCTTTTGCAGCTCCTGAGGGCTGGGAAAGGGCCAGCATCCATGGAGTCTGCCTGCCCCTTGGCCAAAGAGCCCTGTCTCTGCTGGAGTCACTCAGATCTCCTGAGGCACATCTCCAGCTCTTGGGTAAAATGTCCATAAAACATCCGTGTTGAAACAACAGGATAAAAGTGGGGTTTGCTGCTCCAGAGTACCCGGCCTGAAACCTCCCTGTTCCCAAGGGCTTTCACCTCTCTGGACATTTACACCCCAGAGCAGAACCTGAGCTACTGCACAGCCTCCTCTGTGCACAGCTGGGCTGCAGATCCCTCACTCCTAGACATCTTTCCATCCTGCAAGGCTCACTTCCATCAAGAAGGACTCATCCAGGTCCTGGAACATGGTTCTCATTGCTCATACTGCTCCTCTTCTCTCTAGGAACTGCGGATCATCTCGTGCTCCCACGAGTTCCATCGGGAGTGCGTTGACCCTTGGCTGCAGCAACACCACACGTGTCCCCTTTGCATGTTCAATATTCTTGGTAGGGCTCAGACACAGCGTTTTCTGGGCAGGCACAGGGTTGGGTGCAGGGGTTGTGACCAGGAGCTCCAGGTACCCTTGGGTGATGCATCAGCAGCTCCACGTGTCCCTGTGCATGGAATGTACGGGATGGTGTGTCCGTGGAGGGGGGTCCCTGTGTGTGAGCCCCCCAGGGTACAGCAGGACACTGAGCTTGGGACCTGCACCAAGAAGAGGGGTTTCCAGTCTTGGGACCTGTGGGCAAGGGAGGGGGAAAGCAGGGAAAGCACTGAGTGTGCAGGACCATGGTGGCAGTGAGGAATTGTGGGACACGGCAGGATGTGACACTGTGGTGGGAGGGCAGTGGAGTTGGTGCCAGGGGTACAGCTGGGCTGTGGGACACATGCTGGATGCTCCCTTCTCTCTCCACAGCCAGAGACTCAACGGACCAGGCCATGGCCACCAGCTCCAGGCTGGCCCCTCAGGACATGGAGCCTGGACGGCGACTCCACCTTTTCCGCCAGCACCCAGGACATGCCCTTTACCACCTCCCACACCCGTATCCTCAGAGGAACCTCAGGAGCTTTCCCCCGGAGCCAACCCATGGCAACCCCTTCTTCCACTCCCCAGAGCTCTCCCAGGTGGATTTTGACACCATCCACTACATGCCCTACAGACCGGCCCCCTCCCTGCTCGCCTGCGGCCACACGTCCCCACTGGCCCCGGGCCTGCTGGGCCAGCAGCTCCCTGTGCCCTCGGCGTGTGGGCAGGTGCTGGCACCCCACAGGACGTGTTCCCTGCAGCCCCAGCCCCCCTGCCCCGGGCTCAAGGCAGCCCTGGCACAGAAGCAGCACCGCGCGCCCGCCCTGCGCCGGGGGGTGAGCCACGGGCACCAGCACAACAGCAGCGGCTCCGGGGAGAGTTACCTGACAGAGCACAGCGGGTACCTGGCGGACGGGCCGGGCAGCGACTCCAGCTCGGGGCCCTGCCACGGCTCCTCCAGCGACTCCATGTTGAACTGCACGGACGTCAGTCTGCAGGGCATCCACGGCAGCTGCTCCACATTCCGCAGCTCCCTGAGCAGCGACTACGATCCCTTCGTGTACTGCAGCTCCGAGGGCCCCGCCGCGGACCACGGCCAGGAGCCGCTGCGGCCGCCCAGGGAGAGGCGGCCCAGGTCCTTGGACCTCATGGTGCCCGGGGGAGCTGCTCCAGCCAAGCCCCAGGTGCTCAGCCACGTCCACTACCACCACCACCAGCACCACCACTACCGACGGGACACGGAGTGTCCCCCCGGACGCGCCGGGCAGGGGCCTGGGCCACGCAAACCCCGCTACTCTGGGACCAAGGTTGGCTTCCACGGGGCTCGGACACAAAAGAGGACTGAGAAGAGCCATCACTGCCAGCAGCCTCCGGAAAGCAGCGCTGTGCTGCAGGAGGCAGCTCTGGCAGGACAGCCAGCCTGTCCCCAGGAAGGCCGGGAGCCCCCTCATGCCCTCTCCACTTCTCCAAACAGGTTGGACTTCAGTGTAGATGCCAACAGACAGTTGGGAGCAGCTGGCACATCCCTTGCCCTGCTGCCTCCAAGACACAGCCTGCAGAGCCGGCATCACCGAAGGAAAAGAAAGTGTTCCCTGGAGCCCGACCCCGCTCTGCTGCCCAAGGACTCGGCCTTGCCCAAAGCCTGCGATACTCACCTTCCCCACGGCCATCCCAGTGGCTCCCGCTGCTCTCCCGAGGTCCAGCCCCTGATCCCAAGCGCTCCCCTGCCCAGTGGCTCCGGCTCCCGGCCGCTCTGGAAGTGTTTGGTGCCGCAGTCCAGCTCTGAGCTGAGGAAGCAGGAGGAGGGGGTGTCGGGACGGGAGGGAACCCGCCCGGTTCCTGCGGATTTCTCAGGGACAGGCACCCACAGGCACAGTCTGAGTCTCCACCTGCACTGCCCGTCCCAGCAGGGTGGGCAGGGTAAGTCTGCTGTGCTGCTCTCCTTGCAGGGAGCAGGTGAATGAGGGGGGTTTGCCGAAGGAGCTCTGGATGCCAGGACACCTGGTACCTTCCCCATGGAAGCACTGACAGCAGGAGCGTTTCAGGGCTCACCTGTCTGGAGATGGTGGCCTGAACAATGAGCAAGTGTGTTAATGAGTGCACCAAACCCTAAAATACTGCATATGAGAAATAAGGTGGCTAATTTTAACTAAACATCTCCAGCAGCTGGAGTATCTCCCAAAGGGAGGGATGGGACCACGTTTCTCAGTGTCCTCGCACCAGTCTGGGTGTCTTACTGGCAGAATCATTATCTTCAAGGCTTTTTGGGCTCCAGTTGTTCTAGCCAAGCCCAGTTAACTGCAGTCAGTGAGGAAGGAAGTGTGTGTGGCGGGTGGTAGTAGAACAGACTCAATGAGGTGATGGATTTGCACATCCCTCGTTTCTCACCTGCCTCTGTTGCGTGGGAGTTGCTTTTTAGTGTCTTTTGGAAATCAGATGTAATTAAAGTTTGGCCCTTTGCCTAACTGCTGCACATCTCTCACTGAGAGAGGGAAAATGCCTTTGAGTCGAGGCTCTTTGAAAGAACCTGAGTTTAGCTCCCAGGTCTTGCTCTCTCAGGTCCTCTGAACACAGCAACCTGCACGTCAGCCCGGGCAGGTGCCGGCTGGGAGCAGAGCCCGGCTCCCTTCCTCCCCCTGCCACTGACTCACTGCAGCTCCTCGGGCAAATCCTTTTGATTTCGATACCAAACACAGATCTGGCTGCCTAATTTCTCTTAAAACACTGGCCCTAAACTCGTGACTCACCGTGCCCATTGTGCCGCAGAGATAATCACTTCCTCCCCGTGCTCGTCTGTCCAGCCCCGCTCCACGCCCAGGCTCCCGGGGCAGCTCCAGCCGCGGGGGCAGCGGGGCAGGGGGGGCTGGATGGGCACGGGCCTGGCTCCCCGCGGCGCTCCGGCCTCCCAGACTCCCAGGAACAGATTTTTTTCCCAGGCACAGAAGTGCCTGACACCGCAGATGGGTGATCCGGGAGGCCCGCGGGGATGCTGCCGTTTGGAGAGATGAGGAGGCAGCAGCGCAGAGGTGCCTCTGGTTCACGGGTAGCTCTGAGTGCTGATGCCCTCCCGGGATCACAGCAGGGGCTTCCACGTGGAGAGAGCCCTCCTGGCTCAGGAAAAGCTGCTCAGGAGTTGCTTTGAGCTCCTACCTGAACCTGGGAGGCCTCCCCAAGCCCCCGGAGCAGGAGTCTGTGCACCTGAAGAGGGGTGCTGGGTGCCGCCTTGCCCAAGGCATTGCAAGGTCCACGCCTGTGAAATCTCTTTGGAGGTGGTCCCAGTGGCCTCAGTCTGTGCCCAACCTCCTTATGGCTCTCTGGCCCCCACCCAGAGCCAGTGCCAGCTGCTTTGCCGAGCACACCCAGCCTTCATTCTCTCTTGGAGCTGGAAGGACCAACGTGTTTGAAAGCACTGTGGCTCTATTTGACTGCAGTAGCTTCTGGGGATGCTTTCAGGACCAGCCAGAGATCAGAATCTCCTTGTAAGGCTGAGAAAATACATAGATTTAGGATTTAGCTTTATCAGGAACAGAGGGCAGAGCAGAAAGTTTGTGCAGGGCTTATGCAGAAAAGCCACCAGGCTGAAAACACGTTGGTTGACATAACACAACCTCTGAGTTATAATCACATTGGTGCTTTATCTTGGGAAAGGTGGAAATCAGTAGAGACCAAGTAAAGAGAGCAAAGAGCAATCTCAACAGACAGTCCCATGTAAGCAGGACACAAAACAAAGACAAGGAGACCAAGGAAGAAAGTCATCAGTGCCTCCAGATAAATGGCATAAGGCTAAAAATATAAATGGATGAATTAGAAAGCCCAGCTTTAAATTAAAGTTTTGACATAAACTCTTCAGAAACCCAGTTTAGAGGAAAAACAAAGAGCAGGACCCTGTAATTCCCAGGTGAAATTACAGAGAGGAGAAGAGTGTGTCTCTTCTGGTGGCATGGGAGGGACACTCTGTCCTAAGTCCAATGACAAGTGACACAAAAATCCCCAATTGCCCCTAAGTAGAAGGAGGGTGGCATTTGGGTTATAACATACTATGTCAGCACAGGGTGCAAAGAGGAGCCTACAGAGACATGAGAGTTTTTTAATAATAATTCTGAAAGAAGCAGTCAAACGACTAAGATGCTTTTGGGCACAGGGATCATTTAAAGCCCCAGAAAGGGCTGGCCAAGCAGCAGGGCAGAGAGGGCACTGGGAAGCTGTTCTTCCAGAGTCAAGGTGTGGTAAGACACACCACACAAGGAAATCAGGATGCCAAGCTAAGTGCAGAGCCATGGAGAGGCACACCAGGGAAGATTTCTGTGAACAGTTTGTGAAAAACAGAGAGACTATTAATGCAAACATTTCCAGCTCCATCAGAAGGGAGAAGGCTGCCTGAGGCTCTGCAGATCCAGGGAATAACACAGGTCTGAGGGATGTTCAAGGGCTGTAAGTGCAGGGAGAGCAGAACAAACTGAATTTATTACAATAATGATCAGCCTGGAAGCGCTCGGGGAGGTTCTCACCCTGCACAGGGCAGGGGCTACAGGATCCCTCATGAATCAGATCATCAGTTTGAGTGACTCTGAAATAAAGTGGAGAGTAACAAATTGCCAGGGGTACAGCTCACCCCCCGAGCATCCTGCAGGGCTCAAGCAGAGAGCTGATAAATCCTGAACGTGGCCTGCAATCTCTTATCCATGCCCAGAGCCAGAAGGAAGAGCTGGGGGCAATATCAGCTGGAAATAGCTGAAGCCACAGAATGATGAGCCTGACTTTCCAGCCAAGCAAATTGTGAAGAATTCAAATGGAGGGGCTGACTTGTAGGCACATGGCTGAATGTGAAAACCAGGGGAGGAGGCACCCCAGCTTCTGTAGGGAGAGATAACGCCTGGCACATCTTTTAGGGGAAGGAAGCTCTCAAAGGATAAAAGGGAAAGTGCTCTCATAGGTAAATAACTGGCTAGAAAATAGGAGACAAAGTGTGGACCAGACTTAATGGAGGGAAATTGCTCAGAGAAGGAGCAAAGTGGAGTTCTCCAACTGTCTGCACCTTCCAGCAAGCTCATAAATATCCTGGACAAGGAGAGGAGATAGCAAAGTGTGTAACAGATAAAGTCCATCAGGATGTCAGCATTAAAGCTGGATACAGAGTGTTACAGAGGGATCTCCTGCTGCTGAGCTGTGGGGGGCAGAGTGGTGGGGGAAATCCCATGGAAGTAGCACAAAACACCACACAAGCAGAGCCACTTCCGAGTAAAAATCAAATTATTATTAGGAGCTGGCTGGGCACTAAAGTGGGACAAGCAGAAAGTGCCTCTGTGCAGCTGCATAAGGCTGTGGTGAGCTCAGAGCTCCTGCACACCTCTGCTCAAAAAGGGAAATAGCAGGTTTGGGAGAAGGGCAGAGAGGGATGGCAGTGATGGGGGTTTCTGAGAAAACAAAGAATAGTGAGACTTTCATGTGGGAAAAAGGTGATTAGCAGAGGATATGAAAGAGAGGATATGAAATCAGGAAAGCAGGGGAGAAGGCAGATAAGAGGGACTCACTGGTGCTTAGAACAAAGTAATTGGTAGCATCAAACGGGAAACAGAAGCTTTAAAACACCCAAAAGGCAACACATGGTGTGTAGTGAAACTGGTGCTGGTTGCCCAGAGGATGTAAGTGCCAGGAGTAAAATGGATTTGAGAGCCCAGATCAAGAGCTGGCAAATGCAGAGATGCAAATACACCCCCCGGCTCAGGAAGTCCCTAAACCAGGGTTTCCAGAAGCTGCTGGTGCTGCTGTGGGATGCAGCAGCCTCCAGGTGTGTGCTTACCTCACCCAGCTGCCAGGTGAGGCTGAATCCTGATCCACAGCCCCTGGAGAGAAACTCCACTTGTGCAGGCAGTGCCATGCGCTGGCGTGGCAGGGAATGACGGGGCAGATGATCCCAGAGAGGCTCGGATGATCCTGGAGTTTGTGCTGCTTCCTCGAGCACCTCCACCAGCCTGTCTTGGTGGGGTTTGCATAAAGATACATCCCCGACTCCTCTCTTGCCTGAGAAACGACACCTGGGAGTTGTGCCAGTGGAGGATCAGTCCTTGAACAATGCTGGATGGATCCTTTTAAGGGAAGTCAGACAACTGGCAGGGAATTACAGCTAGATGGCTTCCTAAACCGCCCCAGCACGCCCGGATGGCAGCCCAGAACAGCCAGATTACTCCCAGCACAGGCTGATGAAATCTCTTGATTTCTCTCCCTGGGAAACCTCACCTCCTGCAGCACTCTGGGCGTTCTCCCCCTCCCTCTCCTGCTCATCCTCTCAGCCATTCCCTTTCATGTCACGTCTTTGATCTTTACCAGGGAGAGGGAAAGGGATTAGAGGTAGAAGAAGACCACCCTCAAAACCCCTGTGGTGTTACCAAGATGTGCTCCTCCAGGTCACTGCCCTGGATGGGTCTCCATGGCCAGTCCAGCAGCCAAGGTTCTCCCACCTCTCCTTTCCTTTTTAGCCTTCCTTTCTGTCTGTGTAACAGGGGACACTTACAGAGGCACAGCTTTCAGAAAATACTATAGTAATGCTATTGGAGGCTGAGGGGCATCTGATCACAGAGGGATTGAAGCTGGGAAGCTGCTGGAAGTGGCTTATTCCATGTACTGGTGACTCAAATCACAAATGTCCGATACCCTCAAACTCTGTCTTCAGGTATTTTGGCCATGCCTGCACACTTATGTTCATGTAAAACACCATGTACATTAATTTTCCCATGTCAATTAGCTACATTTTTCCAAGCAAAATCTTACTTGTTTGTTTTCTTCCCCTGTATTTATTTTTCAAGGCTCTGCTTCTACAACTGCTGATGTATAACCATCCAGGGTTTGCTGTGACTGTTGTGAAAAGTTGTTTTGAGTTGCTCTCTAGGAACCTCTAGATGGTCATTTGTTTCCTTTGGATCTCAGGAACACTCAGGAAAAGGGAAATGGGAAAAATAGTGCCTGTGTGCCTTTACTGGGCTATTCTGACCCTGTGTGAGAGCTCTGGGCAGGCTCAGACATTTGGTGTGGGTGACAAAAGGCAGTTGGAGAGAACACACTTGGAGAGAAAGGGACTGGCTGGAGCAGTGACTCAGGGTGCACTTTTTAGGCAGCCCTTGAGTTGAATGGTTCAAAATAAGCTGCTGAGCATTTCCCTGTCAATAATTCACCCAGGCAGAGGGGGCTGGTGAAGAGCCTGAGCTTGGTTGGGACTCAGAAGGAATTTGTGCAACCTCTTGAACACTGTGAAACTTGGGCCATCCCTGTCTTGCATCACTCACTCTGCTTTTGTTGTCTGGAGTTTCTGGTGCACCCTGGAAGGTGCTGCCTGGCTCTGTGTGATATGAATGAGTGTTATTTTATGTTCCTAATAATTTTTCAATCAGCTGTACAAACATCAGAAAGCCTCAAAGGCAAGCACCCAGTTAGTGATGGGAGTCCTGGGGAGCACTGTGCCCTTAGCCTGCCTCTTCTGAAAGAGTAGCTTGATGTCTCAACTTTACATTTTATTGTACTTTACCTTAGAGGAATGAACTGGTTGGGAGATGGCCAGAAAATTCCCTCTGAAAAACTGGGAGAAACTTCATAGAATTATGGGCTATCCTGAGGTGGAAGGGACCCAAGGATCATCGAGTCCAACTCCTGGCCTTGTTCAGAACACCCCAACAATCCCACCCTGTGCCTGAGAGCATTGTCTAAACATGCTGTCGGGCTTGGGGCCATAACCACTGCCCTGGGGAGCCTGTTCCAGTGGCTTAGTGGCTTTTTTAGTGGCTTTCCCTGCAGCATCTGTTCTCCGTATTTGCAGGGTCAAGGCCCCAGCAGCTGCGGATCCCGGGAATGTTCAGCCAGGTGTAGCTGACACTTTTCTTTCTCCTTTTCTTTGAATGCAGGATCTGAAGAGGAGGTCCAGGATGTCCATGAACACTCAGTCTAATGAAACACTGGCCTGTTTGCTCCCTGGGAGCTGGAGTGGACACAGATGTTCAGCAGGAGGAGTTCACACCTCGCTCTCTGCACAGGACCGTGCGATGCCCGGCCCGGCCCCGCCAGACACAGACTGCAAACAGCAGTGGGGCACTTGTGGTCTCCTCACACGTCCCCACATTGCAACAGTCCCACAAACAGAGCTGTGCTCTCCAGGCCCCCTTCTCTGAAGGCACAGGCAGCCCGTGGTCACCCTGTGGCACCTCTGCGTGGGCTGGGCAGAGGCACCAGCAGGAGAGCTCAGCGAGGGAGTGCAAGCTGCTATTTTGGCATGTTCATGCCACAGAAGGTTTTGCTGAACACTTCAAAAATAAACAAGCCTTCGAGACCAAAAGCTGCAGAAATGACTTTCTGTGGCCTGGTAGCTCCTGACTTCATTTCCTCACTTAGGTCAAAAGCCAGACTTCTCCAATTAAGTTTTCCATGCCTATTTCAGACACAGGAACAAGCTATTCTCCGTCTCACCGCTCACAGGTCTGCCCTGCAAGGTGCTGCTTCTGACTCCAGTGGAAACCAACAGCTCTCACCACTTCTGATCCCTCCAGTGCCCCTCAGCTGACGCTGTCTTGGCCATTCCCTGCATTTGGCAGCAGCAGGAGAGGTGAAGACACAGGGACAACATCAGCACTTCTGGGAAGGAGCTGGGTCAGACTCTTTCCATTGCAAAGAATCCACCCTCTCATCTGGCAATGTGAACAAGTCTCTCACTCACCCTCTAACTCCTCCACCCACCCTCAAACTAGGTGTCATGGCCAGCCCTGTTAAGAGCAACTCATTTTTTGAGTGTATTTCAAACCTGAGGTGTCCCCGTCACAGGAGTCATGGAAAATCCTTGAGTTCACGTGGTTCCTGCTGCTTCCTCTCTCACTGCCTCAAGACACAGCAAAAATTCCCAGCAGAAGCCTCCATAATAAATGCAGAGCAGGGCCCCATCCATCACCCAGCCTTATCTTCATATTTCTGAGACACCTGAAATGATCCTCTGAAGGGATTTTTCAGAATACCCTTCTGTCTTTTCCAACATTTTGATGATGCAGGGAGAAAAGTCGAGAAATCATCAGGCTCCAGTTTATTACTTTCCCACCCCCTCCCATTTGTGGAAGGTTTTGGGGGTTTTTTTGGATGCCACCAGTTCTTATTTCCTACGTCTCATAATTTGCAGACCTTCAAGTAAAATAAAACCTGCCAAATTCAAAACATCTAGAACCCAAACAGCTTCCAAACAGCAGGGAATTCCTGTTGAGCTCATTGCCCTAAATGATCAGTCAGGCCAAAGAATCAGATTCCCATGTGAAGTGCACATTTATATGGCACCAAGTGCTTCCAAGCACAGGGAAACACTGCTGGATACAACACTGGAGCTGAAGGTAACTCCTGACAGTTTGAAACCTGGGGTAGGAACAGGCTTCCCCATGTGCCCAGTGCTCAGCAACCCTCCTGTGTCTTCCTTTGAATCAGCAGCAGCTTCTCCAGCTCGAGAGAGAGCACACTGGTTATGCAGTCCCAGTTCAGGATAATTCTGCCTCTGCCTTCGTTTGTGGTGAGGAAAGCTTTTTATGGGGTTTGCTGCCCTTAATCCTTGGAAAAAAGGCATCTTTCTCCCAGCTGCTCATCAGCCCCTGACAGTCAGTGATCAGCCAATAGCACTGTTTCATTATTCCCTTGCTATTCCCTTCCCTGTCTCCTGTGACTGAGCCCCTGCAGGACCTTTCAGTGTAGAGAAGAAACGAATTTCTTTCATCAAAGAACCCACCAGAATTACATTTAAACCTTTCCAGGCTCTTCTTGCAGGCAGAAGACACGAGCTCAGATGTTTTCTCCCTTGCAGGGAAGTCAGTTTTCGACTAGAGGAAAATACCCAGGAGCAGATCCAGATTTGCCCTGTTTGGCTTCTTGTGGACTTTGTCCATGGCTTGTCTCAACCAGCTCCCCACGTCCTTGACCATCCTGGAGGGCTCAGAGGACTTCACAGAGGGGAGGGCCATGAAGTCAGGGTGCTCCCACTGTTCTCTTTAGGAGTCAAGAAGGCTGAGAGCTTCCAGGGATGCATTTCACTGCTCAAAGGAACAAGTGGGCTCTTTTGCAGTCAAAAGTCCTCCTCTCTTTTCCCTCCTTATCCCTAACTACACAAAGAATCTGCAGCAAGCCCCAAGCTTCTTGGGAGCACTAATGCACCCTCCACTCCCCACTGCAGTATTACCAGGGTGCCAGGGCAGTGCCTGCTTCCAAGTGTTTTCCTTTCCTGACCTTATGCTGCTGCTCCTTTTCATCTAGAAATGGCCCTGCTGGATGTTGTCCTGCTCTGTGGGCCTTGTTCAGCTGCAGGTCTGCCTTGGTGGGGGCCCAGGTGGGAGGAGAGGGGGGAACTCTCTGGGAAGGTGAGTTTTACGATCCTTTTCGGTAGATGGGTGACTGTCCTTGGCTGCCGGGAAGGGAAGAAGCAATATCTGAGAAAACAGGGAATGGCTCCTCACAGTTCCTGTACCTCTGGCTTCTGGGTGATGCTTTTGAGTGCTCAGTATGCATGGGCTCCATCATGGAATTTCTCCAGCATCCCAGCAGTGAAGCAGAGCTCATTTTCCTTTATTGCATCCAAGGCTGAAAATTGATGGAAACCAGAGCATCCCAAGGTCCCTCTGTCCCAACCGAAGGCCCAGCCCTTCCCCAGGGACCCCCTTTTTCCCAGGAGCTCCCACCCCCTGAGCTGGGATCCACGACTGGGCTGGCTGGACATCCCCCCTCCTACACAGATCCTTCAGATCCTTCGGAAATGTGAATATCAGTTTGTTTTGTTGTTGTTGCTTCTTGTTTAGTTTGTTTTTTTTGCTGAGTCTGTCCTGGCTCTCAGGGCTTGGGAATAAATTATGACCCAGGAAAAAAAAAAAAAAAAACCAAAAACAAAACCCAAAAAAACCCCACTGCAAAAACAATCCAAAAAAAAAAGGAAAATACGTTTTATATATATGCCAAACTGTGTATTTATGTCCGATCCACACAGAGATGTGTGAATATGCCGATGTGCTCAGAAATATATTTATTTACTAATATATTTATCCAGGTACCAGTGTGCTGCCTGCGTTTGTTCTTTGGGGCTGTTCTGGCCTCGGGGCGCCCATGGATTGGGATTGGGACTAGGATCGGGATCACGGCTGGGATTGGGATTGGGACCGGGACTGGGATTGGACCAGGATCGGGGTTAGGGCTGGGATTGGGACCGGGATTGGGGCCAGACTGGGACCGGGGCCGGGATCGGGACCGGGATTTGAACTGAGATCGGGATCGGGGCCGGGATAGGGATAGGGATTGGCATTGGAACCGGGATCAGGGCCGGGATTGGAACCGGGATCAGGCCTGGGATTGGGATTGGAACCGGGCCCGGGATCGGGACTGGGATTGGGATTGAAATCGGGATCGGGACTGGGATTAGGATTGGAGCCGGGATCGGGATTGGAGCCAGGCCCGGGATCGGGACTGGGATTGGGATTGGAGCCGGGATCGGGATTGGAGCCGGGATCGGGGTTGGAGCCGGGCCCGGATCGGGATTGGAGCCGGGATCGGGATTGGGATCGGGATTGGAGCCGGGATCGGGGTTGGAGCCGGGATTGGGATCGGGGTTGGAGCCGGGCCCGGATCGGGATTGGAGCCGGGATCGGGATTGGAGCCGGGATCGGGATCGGGATCGGGGTTGGAGCCGGGCCCGGATCGGGATTGGAGCCGGGATCGGGATTGGGATCGGGATTGGAGCCGGGATCGGGGTTGGAGCCGGGATTGGGATCGCGATTGGAGCCGGGCCCGGATCGGGATTGGAGCCGGGATCGGGATTGGGATCGGGGTTGGAGCCGGGCCCGGATCGGGATTGGAGCCGGGATCGGGATCGGGGTTGGAGCCGGGCCCGGATCGGGGCCGAGCGCAGTGGCCGCGCAGCCGCAGAGCGGTGCCGGGGCCGGGCCGGGGCAGCGATGGCCGCGATCTCGCTGGAGACCGTCCCCAAGGACCTGCGGCACCTCCGCGCCTGCCTGCTCTGCTCGCTGGTCAAGGTGGGACCGGGATCGGGACAGGGACGGGGACAGAGCCAGGCAGAGGGGCAGGGACCGCTCCCCGCCGGCCCCGGCCCTTCCCCCGCCCAGCCCGGGCCTCCGGGCCCAGGCGCTTTTCCCTTCCCGCCCCTTCCCTCGCCCTGTTTAAGCCTCGTAGCCTCTGCCCGGGCCCTTCTCCCCGGTCCGGACCTTCCCCGCCCGGGCTGGGCCTTCCGATGCCGCCACCGGCCCCTCCTGCCCCGGCCCGGCCCCTCCGCTCCGGCCCCGGCCCTTCCCGGCCCCGGCCCTTCTCCCTCCGGCCCCGGCCCTTTCCGGCCCCGGCCCTTCTCCCTCCGTGCCCCGGCCCTTCTCCCTCCGGCCCCGGCCCTTCCCGGCCCCGGCCCTTCTCCCTCCGTGCTCCGGCTCTGCCGCCCGGTTTGGCCCTCGCAGCTTAAACTGCCGGGCCCTTCTCCCCATGCCGGGCCTTCCCGCCCCTACCCGGCCCTTACCCGGCCCGGTCTGGCGCTCCCTGCCCTCCTGCCGCCCGGCCCGGGCCTCCCTGTCCCGGCCCTGCCAGGCCCGAGCTCCTCCGCCCCTCCTGCCGCCCGGCCCGGGCCTCCCGCAGCCTCGGGGCGCTTCCAGCCCCGGCCCTGTCCGCTGCTTCCCGGGGCTCTCCCTCTCCCTTCCCGGGGTTCCCTTTCTCTCTCCCTTCCCGAGTCTCTCTCCCTCTCTGCTCCCGGCCGGCCCCATCCCTGAGCCCCCTGTCCCCTCAGACCATCGACCAGTTCGAGTATGATGGCTGTGACAACTGTGAGACCTACCTGCAGATGAAGGGCAACCGCGAGATGGTCTATGACTGCACCAGCTCCTCCTTCGACGGGTGAGTGGGGCCCGGCCACGGTCCCCAGGGAGCCCAGGGACGCTGTGGTGGCACTGTGGGGTCACCCGGCCGGGAAATGTCCCCTCAGTGCCAATCCCTCCCGCAGGATCATCGCCATGATGAGCCCCGAGGACAGCTGGGTCTCCAAGTGGCAGAGGATCAGTGAGTATTTTGGGAGCCACAGATCTCTGATCCCCAGCAGACCCTTCTCAGGGACAGTGGGTTGGTTGGGCTGTGGAGAGGGTTCTGCCCCACGATGTCCCCTCCAGTGAAGGGACATCTGCACAGGTGTCCCTTCCCACCTGGCTGCTGCTATGTGGGGTAACTCAGTGTTTTCTTCCTCCCAGGTACCTTCAAGCCAGGTGTCTACGCAGTGTCCGTGACCGGCCGCCTGCCCCAAGGTACCTGTGAGATGGAATCAGGGTTTGGGGGTTCAGTGAACACTGTGGACAGGGATCATGCCATGTGGGTGATGGGATCAGCAAGGTGGGAAGGGATCAGCAAAGTTGGAAGAGAGCAGCAGGGTGACTGCAAGAATGTGCTGGACTGAGGAAGGGGCTTCAGGGTTCTGCACTGTGGCTGCCAGAAGCTGATATTGAAGGTGCTGCTGCCTAAAACCAGCTATCAGAGGGATAAACTGGGATTAAAGGGTGCCTCTGGAAAGTCATCTCGTCTCCAATGGTTCAGCTCCAGGGAAACATGGAAGTTTGTCCATAGAAAAGAGTTTTGCAGGATGGGGTGCTGTTAAGGCAATCCTGGTGAGCAGGTGCCCCTTCCTGTCCTCCTGCACCAAGGGCTCGTGCCACGGGGGGCTTTGTGTGTCTGTAAATGGAGTGGAGGGCACAGAGGATTTGCCTTATCTCTGGAATGCAGAAACAGCATCATCCCTCCAGCTGAGCCCCTGCCCAGTCCCCAGAGCAGATTCCTGACCAGGAGTGAATCCTGAATCCCCAGGGGGAAAGCTGTGCCAGTATCTGGGATCCCAGGCTCCTTATTTCTCACCTGAGCTCTGCATTGGGAAGGAGCTGGAACATCACAAGGCTGGAAGCCGAGGCCTGCTGGCACAACCCAGGCACATCTGAAATACCCGGGGATAGGGTTTAGGTTGGATTTTAGGAAAAGGTTGTCTCCCCAGAGGGTGGTTGGGCACTGACCTGGCTTCCCAGGGCAGTGGGCACAGCACCAAGGCTGCCAGAGCTCAAGGAGGGTTTGGACAACACTCTCAGGGACAGGGTGTGACTCTTGGGGTGTCTGTGCAGGGCCAGGAGTTGGACTCAGTGATCCTTGTGGGTCCCTTCCAGCTCGGGATATTCCATGATTCTGTGAAATAAAGATGATTGTCCAGATCTTGATCTCTACCTGACAGAACCACCAGATTTTTCCAGGGCTCCTCATCCCACGGGAACACTGACCTGTGTTTGTCTCCTTGCTGCAGGGATCGTCCGAGAGCTGAAGAGCCGTGGTGTGGCCTACAAATCCCGGGACACAGCCATAAAAACCTAAAGGGCTCTTGTGCTGCCTGGAGGATCCTGGTGCTCCAAATCCTCTTAGCTTTACCCTGCAGGGAAGCGAGGCTGGGCTCGGGGTGTGCTGGCTCAGCTCCCCTCCCTCGGTACCTCCGGACTCCGCCGCCCCACGCTCTGCCCACACAGACCAGAGACCTTTATTTGAGCCTTGACAGGGGGGAGGGTGTGAGTAGGGCTGGGGGAGGGTCTTTAATCGTGATGCACAAGTTTTTTTAAGTTGGTGTGGGAAAGAGGGAATTTGGGATCTAGCTGTGTAAATAGTTCAATAAATCCCACTGCCTGGCCAGGGCTGGGTCCAGCTGTTGCTCAGTCACTGGTTTCACCGCTGCAGGAAGCGGGTGGTGGTGGGGGGGGGGGGGTCTCTCACTCGCCCCCCTGCCTGTGCCAGACTGTTTGGAGCCAGTGGTTGTGTCACTGCTTGTGCCACGGGCCACATTCCTGCCTCGAGAGGGAGATCCTGCCCTGGCCGTGCTGGAGTGTTCCCTGTGGGAACAGGCCATCCCCACCGTGCAGCTCCCGGCTGGATGGAGCAGGTATGGTGGTGTTCAGTGCTTCCTGTGGAGGTGTTTTCCTGGAGGTCACAATGCCCTGGGCCTGCAGGTTGTTATACAAGGGACATGGTAGCAGGATGGACCTTCCAGGACCTTCCACTGGCTGTTGCTGATCTCCAGGGCAGGCAGAGTGGGATGAGCCTTTTGCTGGTGTGGTTGGGAGGCAGCAGGTCTTGCAGAGGGGAGGGATGGACAAGCAGGGACGGGAACACCATCCAGCCTCGTATTTCTAGGGATCTGACTGTTTCAAGTGTCAGCTTAATGTCTACCCCACATGGCCTCCTGAGGGATTCATCCTCCTTAGCTGACAGCTCTTGTTTGATTTGTTTTGTTCCAGTTCAGCAGCAGCCACCGATCACGAAGGGCTGAGTCCTTCATCAGTAACTCTGTGAAATAACTATATTTTTTTTTCTGAAATAATCCTGGAGCTGAAAGGCTCAATTATTGTTTCCTGTAGACAAACAGTGGAAAACCAATACAGCCTTGAAAACTACAGGCTGCATGCAGCACAGGGAGTGCAGGGCTGACTGAGGAATGACACTGCCAGAGGTAGGGAGGTGACAGCTCTGTCCTGCTCTGGTTTGTAGAGCTGGGCCCAAAAAGCGAGTCCCAAGTGCTCCAGGTCAGCCAGAGCATGGCCTCCAGCATGGTTTTGGAGCAGATGTGTGGTGGGAGAAGCCTGGAGCAACAGGGGGGCTGGAAGGGATTGCAGAGAAAAGCCCCTCAAACCACGTTCCTCTTGGGCCCTTGCAGATGTGATCTGCTGTCAGGATTATTGGCTCAGTGCAGAGCAGGGCCAAGTCAAGTTGTCTCTGGGCTCCAGAAAAAACGCCTCCAGGTGCAGATCACCTTTTGTGGGAAGAGCTGAGAGCCCTGGGCTGGGGGTCGGACTCTCTTCTTGGCAAGATGGAGCAGCAGAGTCAGCTGGGTCAGTTCCAGAGTTGACTGTGACTTTCACACATCCCTGGTGAAATCAAAGCCCTTGACTTGCCTGAGAGTTATCCTCCAGGCTTGCTGGGTTGCAGAGTCTGGGCGTGAGATGTACCTTGGGAATTCCCAGTAGGTCAGGTCTGTGGGAGAGAGGAGTG